TGACTCTTTCTTGCATCAGAATTTCGCATGTCGCCATTCCTTATGTGAACATGCGTGGTGTTACTGTTGTCACTTTCTTCGCCACTGAGTACACTGCCAGCATCTTCCTTGGAGTCACTATTATTGTGGGCAGCAAAATCTTTCCTTGTGATCTCTGTTGTGTTGCTGGTCATATCACCCTCATTTCTCTGCTCAGCGCTCATTCTGGTGCCAGAACTTTCCTTCGCCTTTTCATCATTTCTTGCACCACCATCATTCTTTGCTCTGATGACTTTCGTAATAAGAAAATCACTCGTTGCACCGATGTTGCGTTCCGCAGCGAGGTTTGTGTCACCGACTGCCCGAACAATTCTCCGCTTGTTTCGTACCCTCACATCATTCTTCCTTGTCTCAATGTCCTGCCTTGCAATAACATCTCTCGCTGCAGTTTCTTTTTTATCAACAACATTCTTTTGTTCGTTCCGTCCATCCGTGTCTTTTCTCTTTCCACCAAGAAGTTGTACATCAGGACTGCCTTTCCTCTTCTCACCAACTCGCATAACTATTTGTCTTGTAGTGTTGCTCGGTTCAACAACTCTCTTTGCTTGTCTTCTCGGTATTTCGTTTCTCTCAGTAGTAATAGTAATACGTGTATTAAAAAAAAAAGGGGGAGTGTGAACCTATTTCATTTAACTGGAGCCTTGAATGGAAACCGAAAGTATCGCGGGCGCAAATGACGACATTCGCTGACTGTACGGACGGGGGGGATAATTTGAAGGGGGCGTTCCCGGCTTTCGCGAGTTGCCGTCGTGTGTTTGATTGACAGTCGGCGGTATGCGGTCGCGTGCGCATGCGTGACGGAGCTCCTAACCCAAAGCCTTGGTCGACCGAAGTGAAGTGCGACATTTGAATTTGCCGCTCTTGTAATGACGCGCGTCGTGCTTCCGCTTGTGTGTTTTTTCATTTTCTCATCTTCCACTTGTGTTTCCACTTTGTTTTTTTTTGATATTTTAATTTTTAAAAAAAGTAAAATAGACGATAATTTCCTTCTAGTTTTAAAAACGCGAAGCAAAAGATCGTCTAGTTTCACATGTATAATTTTCTTTTCCAAGGTGAAAATCTTTCTCATCTTCCACATGTGTTTCCACTTTGATATTTTAAATAAAAAAAAAACGAACGGTTAAAATGAACGGAATTATCGTAAAAAAAATTTAGAATAATACCAAACCGTGATTTATTACTTTTTAAATATTTTATAGAATATTTTCATCAATATAATCTAAAAATAAAGAAGCATTACTGTTATTCCATGCATCACGCAGTTCGCGTTTGGCGTCTTCAAGTCTTTGTTCGGCGTCAATCAATTGCCGTCTTGCCGTCTGGTTATAACCCCATTTCATTTCATGTTGTTCTTCTTTTCCCGCAATGTACGCATCTTCGAAGTATTTATTCGAGCCGTTTGGATCAAATGCGAATTCTTCATCTTCATCGTAAAACCATTCACAATCATCATTGTAACCCAAAGCACACGCTTCCCCTTCAAATAGTTTCTTGATTTCTTCGTATTTCCTACCATATGTAGATTTTTTTACCTTTTCCCTAAAAAAGAAAAAAACCGTAATAATCGTGTGCGTGAAGTAAAAGGTGGTTAAAAGCAAAACGCTAGTAGCATATATTGTCTGCCAACAGGGCACCGCTTAAATGGTAGGCGGTGTGGCGGTATGGTAACGCGTTGGGGATCCCATTCCTGTAACGGGGAAAGGGTGTACAGTCCCAAGTCAAAGTGGGTTCGATTCCCACCTAAGTTAGTGCCATTAGCGGTGTCCTGTGTCAGACATATATTTATATTTTTTAAAATATTTTACACATACATCGCAATGTGTTTGCGTGATGAAGAGTGGTTTTCGACGCTGCTATGGTTGTTCCTATTGGTTGTTCTTTTACCCTTGTTCATTACATTTTTTATTATTGTTGCTATACGATATTTTTAAAAGAAAAAGGTATTTATTTTTCAATCAGTTTTACAAAAAAATTTATAATATTGTTCTAAATATCAATCTTTAAAAAATCAGTTTTATAAAAAAATTTATAATATTGTTTTAAAAAGTGTTATCACTCAGTCAGTGTCATCATTTTTTCTTCAGACGTCAGTTTCAGAGCGCCATCATCATCATTAATATCATCATTTTTGTCTACAAATCTAACGTAGAAACAAACGGAATTGTTGATGAAATCATAAACGTCGCCATACGGTTGTTTCATGGTAGGGTGAAGACTTAGCATTTTGATCTTGTAAAGTGTCGAATGTATGTCGTGGTCGTCTACAATTGACCCATCGTCTAAGCCGGCTTCAGCGGGTAGTGGTTTGACTTTCCAATCGTGGTTGAGAATCCGATGAAAGCATCCAACAGCTTTCTCCCAGTTTTCGCGGATTAATCTACGATGCTCTTTCTGAAATTTGTCGGGATCCATGCTTCTGCGGTTTTCATCAAGCAGTTGTTCACCAGTTATATGGGCCAGAATGTGCAGAAATAATTCTTTCTGGTCGTCTACACTACCCGTCCAATGTTCGGGTTTTTCACACAATCTGTTAAATATATATATTTATATAAAAATATTGAAAAAAATGTTAATGAATTTACGGTTACTTACTTTGATTCGTCCTCCACATTAGCTTTTTCTTGCTCTTTTTTTCCTGGTCTACCACCCTCCTTGTGTGCCGGTTGAGACATAATTTTTTAGTTTTGATTTTTATATAACCACCCGCTAAAAAAGCTGGGTGACAAAAAATTGTGTAGTTTAGTTGTCAACTTTCGCGTCGATAAAAGAACAACAGTGAAGAACGAAGCGATCAAACTCAGTAAGCGTTACTTGGAGAAAAAAACGTGTAGATCGGTCTTATTTATATGTTTTTTATTTTTTATAGAATGTGATGATTGTTGGAAAAAAAGTGAACATTTTTACAAAAATATGTGTATGTCCAAATAAGGATATATAAATTTTGGATATATAATTGTCGTGATGTAACCAAATATTTTAGCATAGTTGTTGATATAAAGATCAGATTTTTTTTATTTGGGTTTAAATATATTTTAAATATGTCGTGTAGTAAGGGTTGTTGTGTTGAGAAAAAAGGAAAGTATGAAGAGGCATTTGCACCTCTAGATGATTTTGCTAAAACGGTCGAAAATTTCACAGAAGAGATTAATGCAAAAATGTTGAAGATGTTGGAGGGTATACAGCGAATAGAGAATTCCCTTTACGAATGTTTGAAAGCTGTAGAAGAAAGGTAATTAAACTATTTTATCGATATGCCCAAATATAGTTTAATAATAAATATGTTTAAAATACGCGATGCATTTGTGGACATTGTTGTATATCTTTGGTCGACGTAATGCCACGAACTACTTGTTCTTCAGATGCTTGTACGACCCCTCTAATGTATCCCGGGGTTAGAAGAGCTTATTTTATGAATTATACACCAAATATTTATAATGTTTGCTATAATGCTACTGACCAACACAGTCATGAGGGGATAGCGGGTAAAATAACAAAGCAGTTGTTTATCGTGATTCCCGGTACAAAATTTACTAGTTGGGGTCTACTTAATCCTGGCGAATGTATTCGTGTTGCAGGGTAAGAAAAAATTTTATTGTGTAATTTTTTAAATTTTATTGGAAATTTATTTTAATTTTTCTATTTTATAGACCTGCTGACCCAGTTGATAAGACGACTGAAGTTATTGTAAAGGTTTCCGAGGAAGAATATAAAAAGGCAAAGGAGTATTCGGGGGAGACAGTAGCTGTTTGTGAAATGTGTATTAAGAAAGTTGAAAAAGAACTCTATGTCGCGCACAACTGATATGCTAATAGCGAATGAAAAGGGACAAGAGTTTAATAGTACATTATCGTATTTTTTTGATGGACGAAGACATCATGGAACTGAATTGATGAATTTGTACTATGATGATCAACTTTATACTAATATTAAGCACGTATTTTAAGTAGAGAATAGAACAATACTTCGAAATATTATTTTTATAGATAGTGTAATACCTATTAATATATTATATCTTAGTCCGTATATTAGGGCTCGTTATCATAAAAGAGTTCACTATGTAATGTGTAAAAAGGGTCTTACCTTGGCTAATCGTATTGGTATTCAACCTGTATTAGATGATTATTTAGACGATAGACAGTTTATCTATTGGTTTAACAGAGCGGTGCGTAAAATGGAAATTACGGATAAAGTGGATTATATTTTAAAACATACGGGTGTTCTAGTATCTTTATACATAATTGAGTTGGTAATAAAAAATGTAAACGCACACACACAACTTTGAAATAAAAAAATTTTATTTTTACACGTATTTTTAAAAAATTTTGTTTCTACTCATAATTAGCTATAACGTCTTTAAACATGTGCGGATTCTGCTACAACGTCTCTAAACACATTGAGCGGGTTGTTAAATGCTTGCTCTTCTTGAAATTCTTTTAACGTAATCTTTACAACAATTTGATCCAATCGATGACGTTTCCCGTTGATCTAAAAAAATGGACAATTTATTTTTTTGATTTTTTGATAAAAAACATTTATAAAAAAAATATTTAAAATTTTATACCGTACGTATTTTCATACATTCGCAGGGACGTAGAAGAAACGGGTATAGTGGAAAACGTATTGTAGGCACCTGCAAACGTATGTATTTGAAGAAGCTGTAGGGTAGAACAGTGTCGATGTATTTTACCATGGCAACACGATAAGTATCTTGCGAGTTGTTGTAGTAAAATAATGTGTGATATGTTTTAATATCGTGTGATATATACAACGCGTTTTCCATGGTTAAAAGTGTTATATACGCCAATATATATATAGATATCAGATATATGAACAACATTATAACTATAAAACTACTTTATAACTTACTTATATACGGTTTGTTTTTTGGGTTTGTACATATATGGTCATATTCCATTTTAACTTTTAATTTGGCCATGCACGCATTAAATTCACGACTGTTAAATAGTTTATTTAAACGCTTGTCTAGTTTTTGCAACGTATCCATGGCGTTTGCATTAAATTCACGACTGTTAAATAGTTTATTTAAACCCTTGTTTAGGTTTTGCAGCGTATCTATGGCGTCACATAGGCGTTATGATGAGGATATATATGAATTTAATAGAAATATAGTAAATTTTTTTGATCCTAATTTACAATGTCATGAAGGTTCAGAATTAATAACGTGGTATTATGATGGTGTATTATACAGCCAGATATCGTGTGTGATATGGTTGGATCCTTGTCAAAGCTATAATGATGGGTCGTGTATGTGTTGGCAAACGCACTATTTTAATGTTTCATATCCCGATACGATTTTTCGACGTAGAAAAATAAGACGTGTTCATTTTGAGGTTACACATGTCACGCGCATTTTACGTGTTGCTTGGGAAAGACACCCCAGATGGATAGATCGTTTGAAAGAGGGGTATTTATTTTATGGGGAAGACGATGTAGCTATAATTCAACATGTTTTAAAACATACGGGTATTTTGATATCACGTTGTTTTATTAGCTACATAAGATCCAAAGGTGTTGACTGGTATGCGACTGGACGCTGGCCAGAATTGGTGATTGCCTAATATGGACAAACTGATTTTTTACCTTTTATAAATTTTTCTCTTGACTTGTTTATTTCATCTTGTAATTTTTTAACACAGCACATGTAACAATAACAATGAGGATGATGTGTACCGTCTTTATTGTAATATTTTAGATTGTCCATTTTTTAGAGAACGTCTTTAAACGAATTCGTACAAACTATGACATTTTGTAACAAATGTATTTAGTTTTATATAAACCGTCGTCATGTGTGTGTCAGTAAGATTTTATTCTGATGGTAGAAAAATGTATGATTTACAATTATTTGTTAAAGATTTTGAACAAGCATTATGTGATGTTTTACATTCAGACGCTGATATGTTGAATTTTAAATGTATGGAGGTGTCTACATTTTACACTGTAACCGATCGTCATTATATTTTACAATTTTGGAATCGTTTGACTCGACATAAATCCGTGACTGCCGGTTTGTATGAAGCACCCTTTATAAATAAAATGATTGTGGCGGGTTATGATATTATGCATTGGCACAAGACAAACAACAATCTAGAATTTCGTAGTAAGAAACGAAAATATGAATAGTAAATTGCTACTTCCCGAAAATATAAGGGGTTATGTTGTTGTTGCTGATTATATTAGCACTCCTACGGAACCTGAAAATTGGGATCAAAATTATGACGAGTTATTGTATAATATTACTGCGCGTTATGTATGGCGATGGATGATGACAGTTTCGCGAAATCAATTGACTAAGGATTTGTGGACACGGTCATTTGTAGTGGTTTTACAAGAATGTTGGCTGTATATTGAATATATATATGATATTTTGATTGCGGCATGGCGAGATGAGAAACATATGCTTAATCAGGAAGTGGTTATTCATAACCGGGATAAAATATATAACATAGCAATGTCAAAATTGCAACGAAGACGACCACATAGCGTACAAAGTTATCAGGATATTGACGAATATATAGATAATATTTATTTGAGCGAGTAGGTTCAGTTGTAATGTGATTGTTACCACTATAACATGTCTTTATACGGTCAAGAGATTTTTAAGGGTAGTGCACCTATACACATGATGAATGGCTTACGTTTAGAGGATCATGATGCTGATTCGATAACAGCCGTATGTGGTGACTCAATTCATGCTGAGGATGTAGAAGTTGCATTTGATAATATTGATTGCAGTTGTGAATGGAAACCAAAGTATAGCTTACCCGAACCCGAACGTATCGTACCGCGACCCGTAAAAATCACACCACCTCCCTCACCACCCGCACGCTACCACCCCAGATTTGACGCTTCATTTGAATTGTTTTGTGCACAGCAAACTGAACAATATGAGAAAATGGGCAAGACGTTAGCATTTACCATGTTCAAGGAAAAAATGGTTTTGGAGGGTGAAAATTGGGTAATGTGGCGCTCAATGCAAGATGTGTGTAAAGATGAAAATTTTTCACGTTGGATGTTTACAGGTCGAAGAATTGGACCCTACGGAGACGATGAACATTTAAATAATTTTATATGTTTTTTATTTATTATAAGTCAATGGTGTAAATCACAAGATATATCACACGAAATTTTGGAACAATATCAATTAGATTTAGAATTATAACCCATTTGTTCCATAGCGTTAATCATTTCTGCACATTGTAAAGCTTTTTTTACATTTTTTCTTATATCGTCGGGATGTACATAGTTATCGCGTGTGTCAAAATACATTGTATTTTCGGTGTCAGTGTCTTCATCACTACTACTACTATATTCATCATCAGTGTTATTTTTTGAAATTTCGTCAAATTTACGTTTGTTCATCTTTAATAAGTTCACAATCTTCACAGCACGGTTTTACGACACAACGCATGTGCAAGTAGCAATAATATGTAGGAAGCGGTTTAGTGATTTTAATATCTTTTTTTTGTTTTTCCTCCCTAACTTTAATTTCTTTTTTTTTCTTTGCGATTGTTTCTAGTTCTTGCTGTGTTTGTTGTAATTTTTTCTTTATACAGCGACGTTTAAATTTGATAGGTGAATCTTCTAGTGCTGATTCTGATGACGATTCCCCCAGATTAAATTCAACTTTTTTCGGCGTACCTCTGATCAATGGCGAACACACGGGTACGGGTTTGGGTTTTGATCTGATCAATGGCGAACACACGGGTTGTTTGTCAGAAGATTGTTTTGAATCTTGACCGTGTAGTATCAACTGTGCAACATCATACAACTGCTTTGCTTTTAAGCAATTTATACAATTTTTTTCGCAATTACAATTTTTATCCAACGGACAATAGTTACAATTCGACATATTTTCTTTGAGTGATTTTTAAAACGGTTATGATTTTTTATAAGCGTAAATGTTATGACCATATTTAGACGTATGAATAAAATGGTTTTTTAACCGTGCTTATATAATTTAAATTTTGTAAGAGTATGTAATCATACGTTACAATGGTTTGTGAGTGCAATGTGTGTAAAGCATGGGTGGTTGGAGATGAAAAAGCTATTTGTGAAAAAATTAAATGCTGCTGTGATGAATATGTCAGTTTAGTGACGTATAATGGCAAGGGATATTATACGTGCACTGATAAATATTATACCCGTATTGATTTGGGCGGTTATTTTTGTGGTTTTCAAATCGATATAAAAAGTGAAACGGTAGAGCAATATATACGAATTATGAACGGGATTGCCGAATATATTTTTTATATGTTATATCGTGATCCGTGTAAATGTGGTGTACAGACAAAAGCCGTGTTGAAGCGTGTTAGTTATTCGACACAGTCACATCTTCGCAATAGCGACGCAACAGATGAATTACAATTATTTTACGCGTGCCCTACCGATTGTTGTGATGTAAACCAATCGGTTGTTGAAATTGTTGCAAAGCGTCACAACATAAAGTGTTTATGTGGTCGAATTTGTGTGTATCAGTTTGGTGTTTACAGCTGCCCAAAAGTTGGCGGGGGTTGTGGTGTTTGCTTTCACGAGAACGATACTTTAACATTTATATATACATGGCTTGTAAATAAATATCGACCCTTGTCAATATACCCCGGACGGTTATGTCATTTAAGACCTGTAATTAAATACATATTAGAAAAAAGTAAATTATGTTATACCTGTAGACAAAACATTGAAACATGTGAAAAGATTGTATTTTGTTAATTTTTTATTTGAGATATAAAATATTATATAGTTACAAAAATAACATCCACCAATTACCACCTTGTTGTTTTTTTTGTTCATCGTTTTCTACACAACAGAAGTGTGAATGTTTTTTTAGTGTTTTTTCTATTTATTATAACCGTCTTTTTTTATCTATTACCTTTAACCGGTCTTCGTCTACGTGGCGGTGGACCGTAATTGTAATGTGGTGGTGGGTAATAGGGTTGATAACGAGGTTGATAACGGGGTTGACGATAACTGCGTGATTGATTACCCTGATTACCCTGTCTTTGATTTACATTTATGTTCATGGGCTGTGATTTTGATTTTTTACCCCCACCGAATAAACTGCTTAAAAACCCACCATCTTGTGCTTTTGCTTTTGCCTTTCCGCGTTGATATCTAGTCCCCTTAAAATTTGCACCATATTGTCTGCGGTAGCGTTTTCTATAATTCACCATTGTGATAGCTTTGATAACCAAATGATTGTTATGTAGAAATGCGTATGTACTTATATGGTGTTAATGTTTGAAGTGTTAAAAATAGATTTTTTAAAAATGTAGTAACTCACAATGCGTCGACGTCTCATATGCAATGACGCGTTGTATTCTATAAAATTAAGTTTTATAAATTTATTAGAGTGTGGCGAGGAACGTGTGCGTTTTACAGTTGATTATTATTGTTCACATCGTTATATACATCGTGTGGTGATTAAAAAGTTAAACTCTGCAAAATTTCGTATCGTTGTACCCTGCGGTGTTCGGGTGCATACCGATGATGATGATGCTGGATTAAAACAATTGCTGGAGATATTTTTTACACAGTGTAATTCTACATTTTTACGTTTTGAAAATACGTATCATTATTCTCGAACACAATTGTGTTATTATCTAATTAAATATTTTGGCATATGGATAAAAGGCGATTTAATATGGTATGCGCTTAATTCAATTCCTTACTCTCTGTACAATTATTGTCAAAATTTAACAAATCTAAAATATAAAAAACAATATGACTGGGATGGATGAAAACGAGAAAAAACGTTGGCTTTCTACGGTTATATGGAACGATACACTATATAATGTTGGCTATTATTACGATTGTGTTCATATACGGAATAATGAATATGCGTATTATATTGGTTATACAGAAGGTTATTACCGCTGTAATTTTGAAGTATTACCCGAAAAAGATGTGGAAACACAACGTCCCAATTGTCGTCACGTGTTATATAGCAGCTGTCATTATTTAAATACTATAAAACGCTTTTTAACTTTGATCAAGGAGGGTGAATTAAGTGATTTAAGTGATGAGGAATTAAGAATAAAGATTTACAACATATATCTAAGGGATCAAATATATATTACAGAACGTTATTACACAATTGGAAAACGGTTGGTACAAAAATACGCGTTGTCTTTTTATTATGGATGAATTTATGAAGCTGCAACGAAGAAAAAAATACTTTTCTGAGAAGCAAAAGGTGATCAATTACACGTTATTGAAAAAAACATTTACAATTTTATACAAAGATATTTTATACAGCGTTTCGTATGTGCTAAAAGCCGATATTACACAACGCACAGATGTTGACTACAATATGGTACTTATCTTACAAACACATCGGGGAGAGACGACTGAACATTTTGTTATAAACTATATGATCGTGTGTCTCGATTGGGGTTCAATTACCAAATGAACAAAATGATTGCGTTTGTAACTTATATGCAGTTTGTCCGCAAACCGGGAATTTGTTACGCTACAAATATTATAAAGATTAGAAAATATTTTTTAAAAAATAATATACTTATTGATAATAGTGTATTACCCTTTATTATCTATGCCCATTTAAACACGTTACGCACGTACTTTGTTAGACCAAGAGATGTATATGGGCGATTAGCAATAAGAGATTGGGAAACAGATTTTTTGGGAAACAGTATATCCCATATGCTTAAATATGATTAGATTTATATATATATATATAGATATATATATATATATATATATATATATATATATATATATATATATATATATATATATATATATATATATATATATAT